GTTATGTGAAATTCTATTGATTATAACTGTATCTGTTTTGGAAGGTCATGTGCTGGAAGGAATACCATAAAATAAAAATAAGATAATATAATACTTACCTGAACAAAAACAAAGTATGCATAACTGTGAATATGCCAAAAATAGCCAAGACCAAACAAAGCTGTGAATAAGCCACTGAGAAACATGCCAGCTGTTAAGAAATAGCGCAAGTTCATCCTCTCAGCAACCTGCCCACTGAAGAACATGCCTACAGCATAGGCAAACAAAAACGATGTATCCAGGCCACCAAGTAATGACTTAGCATCAGACTTGTCTGAAAAATTGAAAATAAATTCTATAATTAGAGTACTGTAAGGCCTACTACTGATTTGATGCAGAGACAGATCCAGGGGTGGGGAGCACCACAGGGGCTAGGGTCCCAATAAAAAAACAGAGAAAAAAGAATTGGAGGAAGAGGGGAGCAAGGTACCATAGGCCTACTCCAAAAAAAGCTTTTCGATTTAAATTCCATCTACCAGTATCTATAGCCCTGGTTCTTAATTAATTAGTTTAAACTGCCAAATTATTTTTAGAGTTGATCTGACAGGCCAAAGTTAATCTCTGCCAAGTTGAAAGCAATCGTTACTGTATACATCTGGGTGAAACTCTTTCTGCTAAAAAAAAGTCTATATTTGAAAGTTTGCTTTCTTTTTTTTTCCATTTAGAAATCATAGGGGTCTACTTTTAAATTGTACTAGGCCAACTCCAGCATTCATGACCAAAAATTGGACGTGCCATCAGCTTAACAGTGGTCAGTCAAAATACAAAATGTTTTTCGCAAGTACACAGTACGCAAGGAAAACTAGCGATATGTATTTTTATGTGCATCGTCTGTTTAAACACCAACTTTTCACTGTAAAGTAACGAATGATATTAACGAATCACAGGGAACAGAACAAAATACAGAGATGGAACTTGGCAGCACGAAAGTCGAGGTGATGCTAATACAGTACTGTATGACTTGAAAAGAAGGCTATTGAGGAAAAAACAATGATCAGAACAAAACACAGAGACAGAACGGACAATCAAAATTTATTTTTATAAAGTGCACTGTTCTTTGTTCACTAGCTGTTTATTATCATGTAAACTAAGTAGGCACAAGAATGTTATTGACGATAAAACCCAATAGACGTAATGCAAAATAACCTAAATCTATTTGTGTTTACTTCTATGAATTAACAATGGGCTTCTCCTACCATAGGTAATAAATCAGACATTAGAACTCTGCAATTTTGAAAATTTTAACATGTCTATGATAAAGTTTTTACTTCCTCTGGGCTGCTATGTTAAATTTAGCAGAGCTAATAAGAATACCAATCTTGGGAGTTTATTTATAGTTCCGTTTACAGGGTTTAATTTTAAATCTAAGTGGGGGAACCCTAAATCATAACGCGATTTTGTCTTGTTTGAAGCACACAGTGAAGAATAGGACCAAGGAAACTGCCAGTGATAGATTTTTGGCGCTATTTATTTTATTTATGGCCTATATCATCTTGCTCATTTTCAAACCCTGCCCCACTCCCCACCCACATGCACATTACCCAGGGGTTGCATTTTTGTATTTACTTTATTAAAAATGTATTCATAAAACATTTTATTATGTTTTAAACAATTTTTTTCATTACTTGTTTTCCCTCACATGCCAAATCAAATTGCCAAATTTGATCAGTACGTCGCATGGCCCCTATCCATATTTTTCTTTGCATCCGTCCCTGTGATTCATGACAATAACAATATGAATTGGAAACTTAATACAGTTAGTAGAGTATATTGTTTTACAGTATTTCATCTCATAATAAGTGTAATCATTCTATTATAACAAAGTACAGTAGCAAAATAAGTTTACCAAATGGTTTGTAACAGCACCAACATGTGTCATTTCTTTCCTCCGGAGTTGAACAATTTTTGTGAAGGACTTCCTACAATTGAAATAAACAATATATAGTTAAGACAAATTGCTGAATGAAGTTTAGAACTTTTTAAACAGTCACAAAACAATAACATTGACAGTCAAACTAATACAGTATATGCAGTTAAACTCTGTTTAAAGCAAAATCTGTTCAATTTTTCTCTATCAAACTGAATTCTTTTGTAGAACTTTATCAAGCATTTTCTGTAGCTGTTGGCCTATTTTCTTACTGTACATACCCAGCTAAAAAGCATGCTGACCCCTACCATAATGGCATGTTTTAACCACATACTTTAAACATTTTTTTTTGGGGGGGGGTCCTCATTTCTGTTACGAATTTTAACTGTATTTTTTTTTTATTCCAATGAAATTCCTGAGACAAAAGTTCCATTAAAATAGCATTGCTGTATCTGCTGCTACTTGGGAATCGATGCATCAATAGCCGCCAAGCACAAGCTTGGTTGTTTAATGGTTAAGACACCAGGCTAGTTATCTAGAAGTCATGGGCACGATTCCCACCTGAAGATTTTTTTCTCAAGCATTTGGGAACATACTGAGCATTCAGTACAATAACACTTCAGGTAGCGCAAACATCATCTGTATATTTTTTTTTTAATAACTGTTTAAGTATCCTGTTTAAATCTAGCAGTAAAAATAAATCCTAGAGCACACTGACCAAAAGAATTCAAAAAGAGCAATGATAAAATAATTAATTAGTAACTCTTACTGGTTTTCTTGACGAATAAAAGCTAGTATAGGCCATAAAGGTTAAGCATAGAACAAATATTAAAATGTATCAAATTAGGCCTTGACCTTAGTATAACCAATGTATTGTGCTGTAGATTATGCACACCTATTATACCTTCCAACTTCATTGGCATCTGATGCGCGACACAAAAAAAAAATACAATTTGTATACAGTGCCTTCTATGTAAAAATCATAATAGAGAAAGAAAGAATTTTTTAACATTTTTTTAAAATTGTAGTGGTAGAACTGCTGATTACAGTCGTCGGTTGGTATAAATTCATTAAAAGAATTTATATGGACTGTATTGACAATTGAATTCTGAATTCACTTCATTTTTATGAATTTTTACAGGGTATAATCGGCCTATAAATTTTATCTTTTATAAAATGTTTATGATGCAAGGGATAATACAACGTTGGCGTGAGACGTAAAAAGTGGTTATTCATGCATGAGACTCGCTCATTAAGCGTGAGAGTTGGCAAGTGTAACCTATTTTCCTAGCGATTTTCCATGCAAATTTGAGCTAATTTTTGATGTATCATCCATGCAATTAAAATACTCAACAGTATGGTATGGCATTATAGAATAAATACTGTATACTTGTTTGTTTTCATTCATAATATGAACTTTATATGTGAATTTATATTGTGCATTTTACCACAAATTAATTAATTAGCTTTGTTACACCTTATGTAATATTGTGTTTATAATGTGTATGTTTAATTTCAATTTTCAATTAATCAATATTTGATTGGCATTTGAATTGGTAGCTGAATTACATCAAATTTACAGTTAAAATGTCCCATGCTAAATAAATCAAACAATAAAAAAACAATTCAAATACACATTAAAGACACTTTTGATTAAAATGAATAAATGAATACCCTCTATTGTAAGTGGTGAATTTCATATGCTGTTGGTTGGGTATCAAAATAAAATAAATAAAATAAAGCACACTTAACTGAAGGATTAAAAGCTTAGTCGTTGCAATCGATTGTTTGGGCGCTGAGTAGCTGCGGCCGCTTTTCCTAATTAAGACGATTAATCTATCTCAAATGATCGTGAGATTGGTGATATCTTTCTTCTTAATGTTTGATTACTGATTAGTAGTAGTTTCTGGAAGAGTATTGTCTTCTATAACGACAAGACAAACCTTATCTTTATAAATGTTCGCCTGAGTATTAGCCAAGCCACGACGTTTCACCTTGCATGGTAGTTGTTATCGCATTGTTAGGGATATTGTTAATTCGCTAGTGCGTAGCTTGTATTAGTTAAGTCGATGCGATCCGCCTCTGCAGGAATGTTATATGTTCTGCATTTGACGTTATATTATAATACTAGGATAGTAATTAGATAGATTGAAATTTGGGTGACCTTCTAATTATTAATTTATTAAGATATTTCAGGAATAATATTATAGAATAGAACTTCTGATGCACTGCTAGGAAGCTATTTATATGCATGCCATTAGGGCATTGTTAGCGCCTGCTTGGCCAAGCGGTCCAGCTGTGTAGGACTTTGTTATTGAGTTGATCGTTGATGTTTGTGAAGACATTCTCTTCGACTCATCATAGTACATATGGACTATATTTTTGGGTGACCGTATACTTTATGTGACCATCTGTTCAAAAACACTGAAAATCATACAAATTTATCGTAAATGTCTAAACCCAACTTTGTTTACACTAAGGTTATGCTACTTAATATTAGAAATAGCACGATAGGCAGATTTAAATCAGACATAACTTTCTTTTCCAAGCTCAAGAATCTGGGAATTTTTCGCTTTCGAGGACGAAGAGGGGGGATTCGCACGTTCAGCCACCACATCAGAAAGTTTTCAAATCGACCAAATACTTCAACGGCAATTCTTATTTCAACTCCAATTGTAATAATTTTGATCACGCGCCGCTAGTTGGATCTAACTCAAATTTCAATGGCACTGAAAAGAGGCATAAGCCTATTAAGGTTAAGAAATTTCATTCTTGGAAAATTGGACAAATTAACATTCAATCTTGCTCAAATGATTTTAGGTTAGATGAAATGCTTAAGGACTGCAAAACCGCTAACCTTGACATAATCTGTATTCAGGAAATGAGGCGGTTAGGAGAGGGATCAGTCAGTCATGAGGGCTACAACGTGTACTGGAGCGGCATGAAAGTAAAACATCTGTATGGTGTTGGGATTGCCTTAAGGAAAAGTTCATTCATCAGCATCAATGGATATTAATGAACATCTCACCACGTCTGATAGCAATAGATTTAATGATGAAAGGGCTAAAACTTCGTATTGTTTCAGCCTATGCGCCTACCGAAGCTAAATCATTAGCAAACAAGAAGTCATTTTATAGAGAACTGAACAATATGTCACGTAGGAATGGACAAAAACAGAAAGTTACTCATTCAAGGTGACTTTAACGCCACTACATCAATCTGCAATAAACACTCAAGTTTTGATGGACATAACATGCATCATGACGATACATTTAATAAAAATGGCAGTCTTCTGATAGATTTCTGCAATAGAAACGATCTTTCGATTCTTAATACTTGGTTTTCCCATCCGCTGATTCAAGATTAACATGGTATAGTCCGGATGGAGTAACTAGAAAAGTGTATGATCTCAGTTTATCGGGATCATGGATTAGATGCTTTGTTAAGGATGTCAGAACAAGGAACTCATATTTCCACTCTGACCATAGACTCCTTGTAACAAAGCTCAGGACACCTGCCAACAAGTCTGCAAGATTTCTTACGAAATACAGGAAAAGCCGTCCGCCAGACTTAAATGCTTTATCCAACCTGACTGTGAAAAAACAAATAATTAGGAAAATAAAGGATACATTAACAACGTCAGTCTCTCCAACCCAAATTGATGAAAAGCATAATTTTCTCATGAAGACACTAGAATATGCCAAAAGATCTCTCCCGAAGGTCACAAATAAGAAACACACGGTTCCCGAGGATTATTATGATGATCATTTCAAATTCCTAATAACTAAACGTAAAAACTTGCGCAGGCAACCAAGGGCAGAACAATCGGTAGAGAAGATGAAGAAACTAAACAAGGAAATAAAGCGTGCTGCAAGTAAAGTAAAAAGTAGAATGCTGCAAGACAAATCAAATGAAATAAATCAGGCCAAACAAAACAGAAAAGTTGCCGATATGTGGAGAAGCGCCAAAAGTCACTCAAAAATCATCAGTAGTATACCAAAGGCCATAACTTGCCCTAACCTAGCACAACACTTCAAAGCCCACTTTAATCCCTGTCACTTCAATCTTACTTTACCAACAGAAATTTCTAACCCACCACCGTGTATCAATAAACTCCATAGTTGCGTGCCAGTAATGAATAATAATCCCCCTGCACTTGATGAAATTCTCCTAGCCATCAAAGACTTGAAGAACGGTAAAACATCATTAGATATCGAAGCTGATCTGCTGAAAACTGCCACAGAAATCCCGGAATTTCAGGATGAGCTGAAAAAGTACTTTAAAGAAATTTGGGATAAACGAAAACTGCCCTTTCAGTGGAGTCTTAGTCGAATAATATCTATATGGAAAAGAAAAGGCAGTGCACTAGATCCAAAACAATACAGAGCTATATCAATCGGGCCCATCCTCACCAAGGTAGGTATGAATATAGCACTTCGTAGATTAACTCCATTTTATGAGCAACAACTTTCCAGCACCCAGTTTGGCTTTAGAGCAGGAAACGGCTGTAACGATGGCATATTCGTGATAAAGCAACTGCAAGAAGTGGCCTATCGATCTAAACGCAAGTTGTATACATAGATTTAGCTGCTGCATTTGATCACGTAAATAGATCATTTTTATTCGAAAGTATTTATAAGATTTATAAGATTTATATTTATGAAGATACAAAATCTTTCGTTTCAGGCGAAGACTCTCTCAAGGATCAATTCCCTATCATAAGTGGAGTGAGACAAGGCGGAAACGAAGGTCCAAATTTATTCAATCTTTTTGAAGATTATGCAATAAGGATTTGAAAGCATAGATGCTCAACAACGGAAGCAGAGAAACTATCCATACCATATTCCATTCCTCCAGCAGCTACTAATAGGTCACAGCGAAGTAAATTTCCTTCCTCTGGCTTTTACAATTACCTGCGGTTACGCCGACGATATAGGAATTCATTCATGGTCTAAAGATAATCTTCAATTAATCTTCAATGATTTCTCCCTAAACATAAACGAGCTAAAAACAGAAACCATGGTGTGGGACTGGGATGAAAACCTTGACGGCCCACTACCAGAGAGTATAATTACAATCAAAGGAACAGCGGTCAAAAATTCCAAAGATTTCAAATACCTACAGTAGGTGTATGGAATACATGTGTTAACATACACATAGGGGATCGCGAGCTTAAACATCGTGTATCAAGCGCACGTGCTACCTTTGCAGAACATCGCCAGTTGCTTACCAACTCGAATATCCCTCTCAAACTAAGAATCAACTTAATGAATTCACTTGTTCATTCTAGACTGACATATGGCTGCCATGCCTGGAGACCCACTCAAACTGAAATAGACAAAATTGAATCAACCTATAACTTCTTTCTTCGAAACATGGTATATGACGGTTTCAAAAGGAAAAATCCTTACCCATCATCCGGCACATCCAATGAAAATACTGAAATCGAATGGAGTTTCATTTGGACCAATAACGAGCTACACTCGATAACCAAAACTTCATCAATAAATGACTTCTATCAGGCTCAACAAATAAAGTGGTGCTCACACATTATCAGGCGTGAAAACAATCGCCCTTGTAAAATGTTGGCATTTCATGTTACTAAGAATAAAAGGAAAGGTAGGTTAACACCCTCTATTCTTGATAAAGCCGTTAAGTTTTCTGGCGTGTCAAGAAGTCAGTTCATCAAAGATAGCTTCAATGGATGTTGTTAGCCTCTGGCTGACTGTTTACAAGGTATGTTGTCTATTGATTTTCTTTTCTTTTTATCCCTCACTGCATGACATTTGGACTGACCGCTTAGAAAGCCAAAGAATAAGTAAAAGGAATTGAAATGAAATGACTGGAAAGAATAGGAAAAAGGTAAGGAAAGCGGAAAAGAGCAAAAAAAAAAATGAAAAGAAAGAGGCAAAGAAAAGCAAAGGACAAGTTAAGGAAAAGTAAAATAATATAGTAAAGAAAGGAAAGAATAGAAAGGCACTTAAGAAAGGAAAGGAAAGGAAAGGCAAATAAACATATGAATTGTCCTAAGAAAGAAAAAGAAAGGGAATAATTATATGAAAGAAAGATAAAGAAAGAAAAGAAAAGATAAGAACAGAAATAAGAAAAAGGAAAGAAAAGAACGAAACATAAGAAAGAAAAGGAAAGGATATTCAAAGACCCCTATGATAGGGTAAAAGAAAAAATAGAAAGAAAAAATGAAAGAAAAGAAAAGAAAGAACTAAAACGAGAAGAAAGAAAACGAAAGAAAAGAAAAGTAAATATAAGGGGAAAAAAAGGAATGAAAAGAACGAATCATAAGAAAATGAAAGGATACTCAAGGACACCTATGAAAAGGTATAAGAATGAAATGGAAAAAATGAGAAGGAATTATAAGAAAGGAAATAATTATATGGAAGGAAGGATAAAGAAAGAAAGATAAGAACAGAAAATATAAGAAAGAAAAAGGAAAGAAAAGAATGAAACATAAGAAAGAAAAGGAAAGGATATTCAAGAACACCAACGAAAGGTGTGAGAAAAAATAGAATGAAAGAAAAATAAAGAAAGAACTAAAATCAAAAGAAAGAAAATGAAAGAAAAGAAAAGTAAATATAAGAAAGAAAAAGGAATGAAAAGAACGAATTATAAGAAAGAAAAAGAAAGGTTATTCAAAGCAACCTAAGAAATGGTAAAAAGAAAGAAAAGGACAAGAAGGAATCAGGATATGAAAGAAACGATAAGATAAAATAAAATGAGATATGTATGAAAAAGCATAAGAAATGAAAAGGAAATGAAAAGAAATAAAGTAAATACAAGAAAAATCAAGGTTACATAGGAAACAAAGAAAAGAAGAAAGATAAGGAAATATTACAAAGGTAATTTAAGCTAAAGAAGCAATGCATAAGGAGGCATTAGAAAGAAAGGGGAAAGGAAAGTAAAGAAAAGGTAATTAAAAGGAAAAGGGAGACTAAAGAAAGAAAAGGTAGGTAAATCACGGAAAGTTAAGGAAGCATAGAATGAAAGTAAAAGAGAAGATAAGTAAGTAATTAGACGGTTAGCTAATACTAAAATAGAAAACAAAAACAAGGAACGTGAAAGTGAAATATAAGGTCAGCTAACATATTTTCCCCCTCTAGGGACCTTCTTTTGTTTGCACTGTTGAAGCTCTGTCTCTTATACACATCTATACAGTTAGATCAAAGTAATATTTTAAAAGAAATTTCGGTCGCAACGTTTTGAATATTTTAATATTATTAATTATATTTTAATTTATATAAATAGCCTGGCCCTAATTTGACTCAATTTTCTAAACCTGTTAAAATACTGTTGGGTATGTAATGCTTGAATAGAATAAACAACCATGAGTCACTCTAACAGAAGGAAAGAAAAAGAGAAAGATGAAGAAAAAGGTATTAACAGATTATTTTATAATTTCAATTGGGGTTTACTTGTAGGGGCTAGTTAACATTACTTAATAATTTGCCTATATAGATTTATGTAGTACACAGGCCTAGCCTAGATTAGAAGATAGGATCCACCTACTACTAGATAGTAGTACTTTGTCTGTAGATCCACTTTCATACAGAGCTACGTTACCGCAATATTGCGGGAATCTTCCCGGCATTGCCTTCTGCATGAATAGGTCAAGGCTACCGCAAACGCAATCATTGGGGGAGGCGGCATTCCATCTCAGACCTAGTAATATTATTACCGCAATATTGCCGTTACAGTGCATTCCTGCATGTATCTGAAACGAAAGCAGGTCACATGCCTGCAATATTACTCCTTAGGAAAGATAATATAATGATGATTTCGTATAAAAATAACATTTTAGTTTTGTCCAGTTAGTTAGCACACCCTTAGTGCTACGAAAAATGGAAATCTTATTTCAAAAAAATTTTATTTTATATTTTTTTAATTACATATATTGATATTACCGCAATATTTGGTTGGTGTGAATGCCGGCATGTGTAACGGTATTATTACTGCAATATTGCCAGAGCCTCTCTCTGTCTGAAAACAGCTTTATTTAGGACCGCTTTAAAATAAAAAGGAACAATCGTACATGCATGCCTGACGGCTTATTAGGCCTAGGCCCCTAGCTAGGTTGACTCTACAGATAGGGTCCTACTAGGAGGCCTTAGCCTAACCTAGGGCCTAGACTTAGCACTTCCTTAGTTATAGAATGGTGAGATAGTAGCCTGCTGCCTAGGCTAGGCCTAGCCCTTTCCTCCTAGGCCTAGCCTCCTAGCCTAGGACCTAGGCCTAGCTAGTAGGGCTAGCTAGGCCTACTACTAGTGTAGGCTACCTTACTTACCGTATCTCCTTATTACATCGTTGAAAACACGTAGTTCCCTGTGGTCCATCCATAGTGGGTTTCGCCATAGCTAGCTGCACTGAACCAACTTTACGAACCAACTAGGCTTAGGCTTATGCTAGGCTTCTTTATATCTATTAAATACAAATAACATAAGCCTATGCTTTTGCCTAAGATTCCTGGCTGCGAGAGAGCATTCGGCCAGCTGAGAGAGAACCCATCATCAAACGACTGTCACATGATATGACACGACACGACGACGGGAACCAGTCAATTCGAGCGAATGCCAGTTAGAGCAGCTGCATTTAGTGCGAACTAGAGTTACTATAGTGCGCGAACTATAACAAATTTACATTTCATTCATTCATCTCATTTATTTATTCGACCAATACACATTTACAAAAGGTACAGTACAACAAAAATTATGGTCAGGGGCAGCTTAAGCAAAATTTTACTATAACTCATTGAGAGTCAGCTGCCCCATAATGACATAATAATAATAAAGACATAATGTCAGAAGGTGCACAAACATTGGTGTAGTGTGCTTATGAAAACCTCCAAGCACTGCTTTTACACCACTTTATTCCCAGTTTTAATATTACTTTTTACATATGATCGGTGTCGGCCGTAAAAAACAAGGTGTTTTCTAGCCAATGTTGCTTGGCGGGCCGCAAAAAAATCGCTGTCGGGCTGAATGCTGCCCGCGAGCCGCACTTTGCCCACCTGTGGTGAAGTGTGACAAGACTATCAACAGTACAGTATAACAATAACATGATGACATCATTTATTATTTATTCGTTCGTTCGTCCGTCCGTCCGTCCGTTCGTTCGTTCGTTTATTTATTTACTGTGTTCAAGAAACAACAGTGTGTCAAACACAAAAACAGGGTCGCCATAAAAATACAATATGATATAAAAAAAATATATATAGGTGTATAT